GTGGAACCGCCACCCCCAGCCGGCGCCGGCCGGGCGCGGGGACCACAGACACAGCACTGGGCTGAGAGGGCTGAGGCACCTCCACTCTCAGGACCACAGCGTCCCGTGGAGGGGCTGCACCGCCGTGGCCTCCGCGGGCAGTCTCGTGGATCCGCCCGTCACCCAGTGCCCCGCCTGCTCCAGCTGACACTCTTCCCGGCGTGGGGCCCCTCACACGTGTAGGACCTGCACCTGTGTCCCCGGCTTCGGGGCGGCTAGGGCTGCGACCACACAGGGCCCCCGGAACCTGGCCCTGCGGCCGCACCCCACTGGGAACTGCCTGGCTGGCCGGGTGGCTTCCCTCATGGCGGCGGGCAGGCGGCCTCAGTCCACAAACAGGGTTGACACTTAAAATCAACCAAGGGAACCCCTAGTCCACAAAAGCCTGGGGAACGTGGGGAACACAGGAGGCCAGCCACCTGCCCAGGTGCCAGCGCCTGGCTTCCCTCCGCCGCCCCCTCGTGGCCGCTCAGGAAAGGGCGCCCGGGCTTTGCTGGGTTCTCCCTTCCAGTCACTAAGCATCAGGTGGTAAAAGATCAAGGCCTGAGCATAAGCACTCAACCTTTTCCCCAGAAAATTAGGAATTCTAGTGTTAGGTTGGAGATGCTAGCAGAAATGCGTCTTTAATGTTTTATGTCACATAAAAAATTGAGAAATGCAAAAAAAAACCTAGAAAACATTACTGCAATTTCAGTTCTTAAAGGAATAAAAACAGTTTCATGCTTTGAATACAATATCAGACAAGGTTTTACTTAAAGTGAAAACTGTTTCCTTCGGGAATACTTTGACACCCAGACAGGACACAACAGAGGCATGTTACCATTTACCTTATCGGTCAAGCTTACGTCACTGGTTTTGCCATAAAAGTATGCAGTAGTGGAGAGAGAAGAAAACCTAAGAAAAGCTTCCCAAACACTCTGCCTTCTGGGGGTAGAGGCACTAAGTGACCTGTGACCGTTCTGCAACTGACGCGTGTGTCAGATCATCACAGTGCACACCTTAAACCCCTCCACTCTCACATGTGCATTCGAGCTGGGAAAAGTTTCAATTCTGTCTCCACGTTAAACCCCCAGACGCTGAGGGGGCCCCTCCTCCCTTGCCCAGAGAGAACCAGCCCGGAGGGCGTGTGCAGGGCGCAGCGGGCCAGCAGCCCCGCAGGACGGCAGAGGCTGACGTCTGGGCTTCCAGGCAACGGGAGCCCGGGGCCCCGGTCTCTCCCGCCACCCCAAGGACAGTGGTCGAGGACACACGGGTGACATCTCGGGAGTGACCTGGGCCACCCGGAAACCTCTGCATGTGCAACACTAAATGTGAACACCGAGCCGAGCCCAGGCCGAGACGCCCACCAGAACCACCCCGCCTGCCGTACAGGCCAAGGAAGAAACCGCGCCTGTCTCGGGCTCTGGATGAGACGGAAGCACCTCCTCTGCGCCTCAGGCTCCGACTTGGCCCACGCCCCCAGGTCTGCGGATAAGGCCCCTCCCCACCTCCGTGGGTGCCCGGGGTCGGGGGGCAGCCCTGGCACAAGCACCCCTGGGTCATCTCCAGAAAGGCTGAAGGTCAATCCTCAAAACCAAACAAATCACAACTGCGTCCCGGGACAGGGCCGTGCGTTCAGATGCCAGGGGCCTCACCGCCATCCCGTGCCCCTCAGCCGGTACCTTCACTTGCTTTGGATGGACCTCCTTCTTCATGGTGACCAGTGGCCGTCGGAACCCTCTGGGGGCAGGAGGGGCCGCAGGACCAGCAGTGGGAGCTCCCAGTCTTCCCGAGCCGTGGGCTAGCATCTCTCCAGACCCCGAGCCAGCACCTAGAGGCACAGTAAAGGCAGGGGAGAGGATCGCAGCTCTGGGGGGCTGCTTGGGGTGAGGCCGGGCCCCCAAACGCCCAGGAGAGCCACGGGGGCTCCTCTCACCAGAGAAGACATCCAAGGAGCCCCAGGACGGTGAGAGTACTTCACAAAAACGTAAGATGAGAACTACACACGTTAAGTAAGAAAACATGCAATCTGCACGTTTGATACGTGAACATCCACAATCTGAACATAAACCTTCAGGGAACTCGGCTCATTTTCACACAGACGCAGGGTCCAGGCCGACACCCTGGGAGCCAGCACCGCCACGGTGGCCAGGGGGCCCCATGAGACACACGCACGCCAACCCGTCTACTGCAAACAGAAGGGCCACCGCTTGTGGGGTCCACGCCGCACGGGGCCCCGGCCCAAGCGCCCCGCCAGGCACCTGGCCTGCCCTCACCAGTGTCCACCCCACAAGGGACACCTGGACACTTGGTGCCATCTGGTGCTCATCTCTGTAACAGGCACTGACGGGGCAGTGGGCAGAAACTCAGTGAGACCTGTGGACCGGACGTCACGAAGCACACGGTGACCCTCCCAGGAGGGGAATGATAACACGTCAAGTGACGCTCAGTGCACAGACCCAGGGGCAGACAGACGTGGGGGGAGAGGCAGAGGGGAGCAGGCGCAGGCAGACATGCCAGGCTACCACGGGTCGGTGGGGCAGGACGCTCGGCCTGGTCTACACGCCACAGCTGCGTAAGTAAAACTGTGACCGACTCACTTTTTTCAGCGCTTTCTCCTTCTAACCCCAAAGGAGGTGATCTCGACTTTTCTTGAAAATCAAGAGATGTTACGATAAAATCTTCAACATCTTTCTCCTGTTCAGATAGGGAGATTTGTAAATGGTCATAAAATAATAACTTATTATGTCACAGAGTTCAACTTGCCAGATGGAAACTAAGTTCTGAGGCTGTCATCTTCCCACACAGAACCCAAACCCAAAAAGTGTTCAAAGCTGGTGGACATGAGGTTAAACGCTCATAATTTAGTCAAAGTCATCCACATTTCTCTAGGAATATGTTAAAGAAGTCACTGGCAAATATTTCATATTTTAAAGTCGTGCCTGCTGCAGGAGCACACAGACAAAAGAAGGAAGCATGTGGGAATGAATGGTAGAATGTGGACCCCTTAAATTACACAAACCCCATAATTTACCTGCCACTTTATCTAATCCAAGATACACAAAGTGTCAAAATTATGTCAGAGAAAATATAATCTAGCCCCAAAAAAATAAATGGAAGTGTTCCTGAAGTTAATTAGACTATATGTTGAACTCACTAAACATGAACTGCAACTGAAAATAAATCTAAAAAGACATGTTCTAGCCCAAGAACCCTACGCAGAACACACGTGAAGATGTGTTTATGATTATACTTCCCATGAGTCAGGAAATGTGGGTCTGCTGTGCATTTCCGAGTAAGGCTAACGCATTTCAAGTGTTTTTGAGAACAACTGAAGTGCTCTATGTTCCTATCACAGTCGGTTTGGGTTCATCCTGCAGGATGCTGACCATCCCACACCTGCTGACCAAGGGACTGCCAGATGCCCACCCAGGCCTGGCCACCAGGCCACATCAGGAGGTGAACCAACAATGGCTGCAGCTGTGACCCCGCCGGCCAGCCCCGCGGGAACATGCTGGGGCCTTGGGCATCCCCTGGACCCGAACCAGGACAGCACCCAGGAGACCACTTACCACAGCCCCTCGCTGAGCATGGCGGTCAGTAGAGGGAGTCCTGTCTGCAGCCAGTGGAGACTCCGCCCACCTAGGGGCCGTTCCCGCTGTGGACTCGCCCGGGTAACAAAGCAGCCCTGACTGGTCGGCCTGGAGCAGTGAGGTGCCCGCCCCATCCCACAGGGAGGTGTCCAGGCTACGCTGGCTCAGGGCATCTGAGCAGGGTGTCAGGGGCAGGCTGGGCAGGGGCTCAAGGGTGGAGTCCTTCCTGGCGACCTCAGGGGAGCTCCAGGAGGCCAGGTCCATTGTCCTGAGCCCGAGCTTCAAGGGCTCGGGCCCCTCGGCGTGGGCGGGGTCTGGGAGGCACCTAAGCGAGCCCACCTGGGAGCAGAGCGACCCTTCCTGTGCAGCAACCTGCTCTGCCGTGGGCACATCCAGCATCCCGCTTCTCAGCCACGAACCCTGACTTCCAGCTGCGTCAATTAGATCCCAGGTGGTTGCATCGACACTAAACGCATCGACGGGAGGTGAGCTGTCAGTTTCTTCACTGTTACTAGAACCATCACTCAAACTATTTTCTAGAACATGTGAAGACGCCAGTGCCCACTGAGATGTAAAGCCCTTCGTCTCGACGTCGACGTCCGGGAAGCTCATGGAATGCACCAGACGGCTCAGCTTCTCCTGAAGTTGTCTCGCCTGAGCTATGAGATCAGCTTTCCGAAGCTGACAACCTTCCAGTAGTTCGCCTTTATCCTGCAGGTAAAAAAGGACACACACACAGCGGAGTAACGAAATTGCACTCTGCCATGTCTGTCTGTCTGTCTGTCACTTATGAGCCAATTTCAGGGTCTGAGCAAGTAAGGATGAGAGTCCATGATGAGCCCTCGGGTCCCTCTAGACTCCTACAATTTCCAGTTTTGTTTCTGTTTTGTTTTAATTCCCCTGAACCCCTGCCCAGCCTGCCCCTGACACCCTGCTCAGATGCTGAGCCAGGATCCTAGAGAGATGGCAGAGCAGGAAGCACCAGGAATCCCTCTCCCCACCTGGACAACCCGCACAGGCAGAACTGTCCGATACAACCATCCTGCCAGTCTGGGGTCTGTCAAAGACTTGCAACCCCCAAGGGGAAGACTTGGAGGTAAGCTGCTCTCAGCTCTTGGCAGGGAAACAGCTACCTACCCCTCCATCGAAGGGCCCAGCAGGAATGATGCCTGTGTCCCTGGAGTACCTGCAGGGCCTAGGGTGGGCAAAAAGGACCATGTCCTCCAAAAACTGGGTATCTGTGCTCTGACTGCTGCTTTTGGTCACAGGGGTGCAGACAAAGAGGCAGGAGGCCATGGCTGTTGCACCTGTCCCCCTCTTTGTTGCAGCCCCTGCCCCTCTGGCTGAAGTGACCTCCAGGGGAATCGAAGGGCAAGTGCTCTTTTTCCCTACCATTGCATTTTCCTCTTTTATCTTTTTGGGGAAAAACTTAAAACTAGGACATTCAAAAACAACTGCATATATAAGGGAAGTTCTGAAGTGCCCGTGTGTGCCTAGGGAAAAGGCACAGGCTGAGAAGAGCCCTGAGAACTAAACTTTACACCCCAGGCTGATCCTTCACTCAGAGACAACAACCTAAAAAACAAAACAAAACTAAACAAAAACACCCAAAACAAAAGCCAAAACAAACAAACAAACAAAAAAAACCAACTCTCAAACACAATAACAAAAAATAGCAAACACTGAGAAAGAGAGTTTGATCTCCAGATTCACCACATTATTAGGTTAAAAAGGTTCCATGTTCAACAGCAACAACAAAAGTCACAAGCAAACAATGGAACAGGAAAGTACGGCCCAACCAGAGGAAAATGAATTAACAAAAATTATCCCTGAAAAAGACCTGATGATGTATCTACCAGACAAAGACTTCAAAAAAAGCCATTCAAGGACACATAAAGAATGAAGGAAAATGTGGAGAAAGTCAAAAAATAATGTATGAACAAAATTAAAATATCAATAAAAAAGGAAAAAAGAAATCAAAAAGAAATTCTGGCAGAAAAGTACAACAGCTGATATTAAAAATTCACTAAAGGGACTCAAAGACAGATCTCAGAAGGCAGAAGAAAGAATTAAAGAACTTGAGAACAAAGGAAATTATCAAATCTAAGGAAAAGAAAAAAAAAGATTGGGAGAAGTAAATGGAGCCTATGGGACCTGTGAGACAGCACCAAACAAACCAACACATGCATAATGGGAGTCCCAGAAGGAGAAGGAAGAGAGAAAGAGGCAAAGAGAAAATACGACGATACAGTGAATGAAAACTTTCCAAATGTGATGAAAGATATGAACATAAATATCCAGGAAACTCCACAAACTCGAAGAAAGATGAACTGAGAGACCACTGCCAAGACACATCGTAATCAAACTTACAAACAAGCCAAAGATAAAGAGAGAATGTTGAAAACTGACTTGCCACATGCAAAAGAACCTCAGTAAGATCAACAGATTTCTCCGCCAGAAACTTGTGGAGGCCAGAGAACAGTGCATCAGTGTATTCAAAGTGCTAAAAGGAAACGCACTGCCAACTAAGAATCCTAAACACAGCAAAACTGTCCTGCAAGAGTAGGGCAGAAATTAAAACATTCCCAGAGAAACAAAAGTGAGGCAGTTTGTTACCACTAAGACCTGCTCTGTGAGCAAGGTTCAAGAGAGTCCTCAGGGGAACTGAAGGAACCCTAGAAAGCAACGCAAGCTGCGTGGAGAAACAAAGATCTCAGTAAAGGAAAACGCGTGGGCAATTACAAAAGCTAACGTCATCGTAACAATGGCTTGCAACTGCACGTTTTGTTTTCATCATGAATTAAAAGATTTTTTTTTATCTTTTAAAAATATTTTCTAAGTTATTAGTCTGAAAGGTAGTGTTGTAATTTGATTTTGTGACTCCACATGATTTCTACATAAAGAGATTAATGAATTTAAAAGAATTATTAGTTTATGCTTTGAGGCATACAGGCATAATAAGCATTAGGTTTTGTAAAAGAGAAACGAGAAGGGAATTTAAACATTTCACTATTAAAAAAAAATCAGTTAAACACAAGAGAAGACGGTAATGCAGGAAATGAGGGACCAAAAACGCTACAAGGCATAAAGAAAACAAATAGCAAAGTGACAAGAGTACAGGGCTCTTTATCAGCAATGACTTTAAATGTAAAAGGGTTAAGCTCTCCAAAGACAGAGATTGGCAGTGCGGATAAAAACGCATGATCCAACTATATGCCGCCTACAGAAGCTCACTTTAGACTCAAAGACACAAATAGGTTGAAAATAGAAGGACAGAAAAAGGTGTTCCATGCAAATAATAACCAAAAGAGAGCAGGGTAGCTATTTTAATATCAGACAAAATAAATTTAAACCAAGAAAAGTTACAAGAGACAAAAAAGGAGACTGAATCAGTAATTTAAAATTTCCCAACAAGACAAAGTTCTGGACCTGACAACTTCACTGGTGAATTCTACCAAACATTTAAGGAAGAAGTTACACCAATTCTTTAGGGTCTCTTTCACAGGACAGAAGCAGAGGAAATGCCCCTAACCTATTGTGTGGGGCCTGCAAGACCCTGATAGCTAAAGCCAAAGACACTGCAAGAAATGAAAACTGCACACCAGTATCCCTTATAAACATTTGTGCAAAAATCCTCAACAAAATAATAACAAATCAAATTCAACACTATACTAAAGGAATTATACACCGTAATCAAGTGGTGTTTATTCCTGAAATTCAGCATGGGAAACTCGGTCGATGTAACACACCACATCAACAAAACGAAGAGAAAAAAGCCACACGATCTTCTCAGTTGATGCAGTAAAAGCATTTGAAAAGCAAAACCCAATACCCTTTCATGATTAAAAAAACAAACAAAACACGCAAGTCAACACACTAGTAGAGGGAAACTACTTTAACATACAAGAGCCACACACAAGACACCCTCAGGGAACATCACACCTGAGGAAAGGCTGGAGACTTTTCCCCTAAGATCAGGAACAAGGAAGGAGTGCCCACTTCTCTTAAACACAGCACTGGAAATTCTAGCCAGAGCAATTAGGCAAGAGAAAGAAAGAAAGGGCATCCACGCCGGTAGGGAGACGTAAAGTGATCTGTGTTCACAAATGACATGATCCTACATGTAGAAAACCCTAACGGGTCCACAAAGTATTAAAACTAATAAATCAACTCAGCAAAATCACAGGATGCAAAGCCAGCACATAAAAATCAGCGGCGTTTCTGCACAAGGACAATCTGAAAAGAAAATGAAGAAAACAGTTCCATTTACAATAGCAAAAACAACAACAAAAATTAACAAACAATTCACCAAGCAAGTGAAAGACTCGTACACTAAAAGAACAGACATTGCCAAAAGAAATCAAGGAAGACACAAATAAATGGAGACACATCTCATGGTTATGCTCTGGAAGACAGTACCGTTAAGATGTCAGTATTACCCAAAGCGATCTACAGATTCAACGCGATCTCTATCAAAATTCCAGACATTTTTGCAGAGATAGAAAAACCCATCCTGAAATTCATATGGGATTTTAAAGGACCCCAAACAGCCAAAACCACCTTGGAAGAGAAGAACAAAGCTGAAGGACTCACACTTCCTGGCTTCAAACCTTCTGACAAAGCTACAGTAATCAAAACAGTGTCACACTGGCATAAAAACAGACACAGGGGACAGAACAGGAAGTCCAGGGATAAACCTCAGCGTGTACTGGAACAGGGTTTTTGACAATGGTGCCAAGACCATTCAGTGGGGAAAGGACTGTTTTCACAAATGACACCGGGAGTACTGGATTATCCACACGCGGAAGAATGAGTTGGACCCTTCCCTAACACCACATACAAAAATTAAACCGAAAAAGATCAGACTTAAATGTAAGACCCAAAACTATAAAACTCTTGAGGAGAAAACATGGCAAAAGTTTCACATCATTGGATTTGGCAATGATTTCGTGGATATGACGCCAAAGGTATTGGAAACAAAGTATTAGACTTCATGACATTTTTTAAGTTTGTGCATCAAAAGATACTATTATCAGAGTAAAAATGCAACCCACAAAATGAGAAAAAATGTTTGCAAATCAGACACCACAATAAGGGATTCATTTATCCAAAACTACAGAGAGAACTCCTAGAAGAATTAAAAGAACCAAACACCCTGATTCAAAAATTGCCAAAGGACCTGAATAGACATCTCTCTAAAGAACATACACAAATGGCCAATAAGCACATGAAAAGATCCTCAATATCACTAATCATTTGAGAACTGCAAATTCAAAACTACAATTAGGATGGCTACCAGCAGAAAAACAGAACATAACAAATACTAGCGAGGCTGTGGAGAACTTGGAACCCTTCCGCACTTCTGATGAGAACGAAAGCAGTGCAGCCACAGTGGGAAACACTATGGCAGGTCCTCAGAAAGTGAAAAATGGAACCACCATGTGATCCAGCAGCTCTGCTTCTGGGCATACACCTGACAGGTGACACGGTCTCTAAGAGGGATCTGCACACCCATGTCTACAGCAGCATGACTCACAACGGGTAGCGGGGGAAGCAGCCCAGTGTCCACCAGCAGATGATGGATAAGCAAAATGCGGTGTATACACACAGTGGAGTATTACTCGGCCTTAAAAAGGAAGAAAATTCTGACACATGCTACGACATGGATAAACCTTGGTGATAACATAATGAGTGAAACAAGGCAGAGTGAAAAGACAAACGCTGTGTGACTCCACTTATGTAAGAGTCCTAGAGCATCTCAGAACTCACAGAGGAACAGAGAGCAGACTGGTGGGCACCGGGGGCAGGGGGGCTACTGGTCAGTCACACGGGCAGTTGCAGTTTTACAAGATGAAAACAGCTATGCAGACAGACAGTCACACAGTATTATAAGTTTACTTAGTATCACTGAGTATACATTTCAAGTTGATTAAGATGTATTTCACCACACACACACACACGTCAAAACCTACTTTTTCAGGAAACAAAGCCTGGAAGGTTCTATATGCAAACACTGGAAAAAACAAAACTGATTTATGAAATGAATTTGGAATTTCCTTGTCAGTGTATGACTTCTGAGGATTTGGCGACCAGCTCTTGGGATCCAGGGCTAAGCTTTCCCTTAAGAGTCCAAATAGATGTTCCTGCCACAGGGCACTGAGACAAGTTTGCCACGAAGTCAGGGAACAGGTTCTCTCCACACACAATATATCTTCTGAAGGGGCCCGATAAACGCACAAAACCAGATTCAGGTGTCCTCTAGGAAACTGCAGGATTCGGAATCTCCCAGTCTCCCAATCCCCAACATGGGGCCTGTGGCACAGCGCAGGGGGTCCCGGGGACTCAGGCTGGAACCCGAGCACAGTGCGCAGCGTGCACACAGCAGGTGACGGGCTCTCACCCGAGCACCTGTCAGGTCTCAGAGCATCTCAGCTCTGTGACAGTCCGATGCTGCTGACTGCAGCCTCCCCACCTGGGACAGAAAAGTCGGCTTTCATGTAGCTTCTGTCCTGGTGACCAGAATTTTAAACCTGCTGAGCTGAAGACTGCACTGCTCTGCCTGGCCAGGAGGAAGAGCGAAAAGATGAAGGGAAAACCCTGGAGGGTCAGAGGATAAACGTGACGCCTTCAGGTGAAGCCGACGCTGCCAATAAAGGCTGCGGGCCACTCGTCCTCGTGGGAAAACTCCAAGACACAAGCCCTGGCCCAGTCAGACCCCCACCTGTATCAACCACGAGGGAAAAATACCTGCTCATTTTTTACAAGATGATTAGACCACGAGAAACGAGAGGGTGAATCAAACGTGGGAAATTTCAAAACGGATCTGAACAACGAGTGGCAGACTGGGGGAGGGCGTCACTGTCTGCAGCCCATGTGCGTGACACCAAGGAGTTCTCTGCCCATAACCAGCCCCCGTGCTCTGGGCCCCCACCCGCTGAACACGGCCAGGCACCTTCACCGTTCCGGACACGTGGCCATGGTCCTCCACGCGCGAGCACATTTCCTTCTTCACCAGAAGCAGCTCGGACTCCAGGAGCCTCTGGCAGACTGTGAGCACGGACATCACGTCATCTTGCTTGCAAAGGCCTGCACGGTTCAGCATCACCAGGGCTTTGGCAGGCTGCAAGTCCACCGAAGCTGGGCTCTGCAATGAGCAGAAAAAACCACGATGATGCTGTGAACACGCAGCCTCAGACTCTGGGAGCTCCGGAGCCAGCTCGCCCGCCAGCAAGGCTCCCAGGGAAAGTCCATAGCTCGTGACCCACATCACACAAGTGGGGCAGGAGACCAGAGGAGCACATGCCCACAACAGGCCACGACGTGCTGGAGGCTGGGGCAGCCCCACAAAGCACGGCCTTCCGCAGACATCAAGCACACTGCAGCTCCTCCAGCTCCTGCCTGCACCCCAGTCCCCCTCCTACACTCCAGCTCCCCTGCCTGCACCCCCAGCTCCCACATGCACCCCCATATCCCCACCTCACCCAGCTCCCTGCACACAGAGGCTGCACAGCTGTAGCCCAAGGAGGAAGGACCCACCTGTGGGTCACCGCCATGGCCGTGGGGAGCCTCCTGCTCCAGCCCTTCATCACATGGCGCCCAGCACTGGGCGCTGTCGTCCATACAAGGGGGTGGGTGGGCCCCGCACACCTGCTCCCTGTCCAGCTCCTTCTGGCACCTCACAAACCGCTGGTGGAGCGCCTGCAGCTGGCGGCTGAGGCGGCGACACTGTGCTCGGAGCCGCTGCAGCTCGGGGGGCTCCTCAGTGGCAGCCAGGGGCTGCTGCTCCAAGGCATGGCAGAAGCGGGCCACAGCCGACAGGAGGGCCTCCAGCTCAGAGGAGTGGGCCCGCCTCTCTTTGTTTACGGCCTCAATTTCTAGGTCTCTTTCTGCAATCTTCGCGTCCTTGGCTTTCAGGGCAGCTTCAAACTCCTGGATCTGGGCGGCCAGGCCCTGGACCTCAGCCTCCCTGAGGGCTGCACTCTGCTCCAGCTGGGCCAGCCTCTGCGCGGCAGCCTCCTCCGCATCCCGCAGGCGCCCCTGCAGGGCCTCTAGGGCCTGGCCGTGCAGGCGCTCCTGCTCGCTCAGCAGCCGGCCCAGGGCTTCCTTGGCCTCCAGGGCGGTGTGCAGCTCGCCCTCCAGCACCTCGCGGGCCGCGGCTCCCTCCGCCTGCAGGCCCAGCAGCTCGTTTTTCAGGCTGCCCGCCCCGCCACTGTCACCACCGCTGACCTCGTGCAGCGCCGGCCCCGCGACGGACAGCTCCCGCTGCAGCTTCTCGATGACCTCGTGGAGCTGGTCCACCTCCTCCGCTCTATCCTTCTGTAGCCGCTCCTGGTTCTCCCGCAGATTCTCAATAATGGATTTCAGCTCCTCAATTTCAGAACCCCTGTTACACATGACCTGAAGAAAAAGCACATTTCAGAGGAAATTAAATGGCCAACTTCAGAATTTCCCCTTTCACCTTGCAGTTCAGCCTGAACTCACTCCCACAGAAGCGGAGGGGCTCCACAGCTTAAACAACCAAACAGCTGTGGAAGCTGGCTAACAATGCCACCAAACAACATGAATGTCTGAAAACCACCCAAACATCCAGTTACTTCAGGTGGAGCAAAATGGTCAAAAAGCCACACGTGCCACTGCTGCCCTGCCGCCTGTTCAAACGCTTCGATTCCGGCCACGTCCTGCTGCTTCCAGGCCTCACCCAACACGCTGCCCAGGCTCAGGGGACACTCTAACTTGGCCCCATCTCAGTCACCTTTTAAATGTATTTTGTTAGCATGTCAACAACTTTGACGTGTTTGATTTTCCTAAAGGGGGCATTTAGATTGTAGGTGTCATTTTAACAGGAGAATAAGAATAAAAGCGAGAAGTCGGGGCGGGGGATTTGCATTGGTTCGGGGTGTGAACGAGCCAGAGCACACAGCATGCTTTTCACACTGTGTGCAGCGGGGACAGGGGACTTGGCACGCCAGGTGTTGAAGGGTGCTTCTGCCTGTGCTATCTCATTCTCAGCAGTTTTAAGGTAAGAAATGTTACTGTTCCTACTTTAAAGATGGGACAACTGAAATTTAGGTACGAAGAATCTTGCCAAGACTGCAAAGACAGTAAATGGAAAATCAGGACAGAAACCTGTGTCCATACGGCTCCAAACTCCATTCTGTTAAGATTACATCATTGTAGTGACCAAAAAATAAGAAAGTTCTAACCAATCTACGTTCTAGTTAACAATTTTCAGCCAAATTGTCACAATACTGTTTTGCTTCCTAAAGCAGGCCAATTTTACCCTGATACCAAAACCAGACAGACATCACAAGAAAAGTACAGGCCAATATCCATGATGCATACAGATGCATAAATTCTTAAAATACCAGTAAATAGAATTCAGCAAATATAAAAAGAACTATACACCATGACCGAGGGGAGCTTACTCCAGGGATTCAGGACTGGTTCAGTATTCGACAATCCATCAATGTAATCAACCATATTAGAATTTAAAATTTAACAAAATATAGCATTTTTTAAAATTAAATGAACATATCATTTAAGATAGCACCACACAAAAAATTAAGTACCTAGACATAAATCTAACAAAATACATGCAGGACATGTGAATTGAAAATTACACAACATCAATGAAAGAACTGCAAGAAGACAAATAGTCACACCATGTTCATGGATTAGAAGACTCAACATTGTTAAAACGTCAGTTCTCTCCAGATCAATCTACAGATTCAAAGGGGCCACACAGACGACCAACAGGCACATGAAAAGATGCTCAACATCACTGATCATCAGGGAAACGTAGATCAAAACCACAATAAGACACCACCTCACATCTGTCAGAATGAATATCATCAAAAAGAACACAGAATAGAAGCGTTGGCGAGGATGCGGAGAAAAGGGAACCCTCCTACACTGTCGGTGGGAATGGAAGTTGGTGCTGTCACTGCAGAAAACAGTAAGGAGGTTCCTCAAAAAACTAAAAATAGAACTACCATATGATCGAGTAATTCTATTTCTGGGTATATGTCTGAAAAAAATAAAAACACTAATACAAGAAGATACATGTATCCCAATGTTCATAGCAGTATTATTTATAATTGCCAAGATATAGAAGCAACCTAAGTGCCCACCAACAGATGAATGGATAAAAATGTGGTGTACACACACACACACACACACACACACACACAGAAATATTATTCAGCCATTAAAAAGAATGAAACTCTGCCATTTGCAACAACATTGATGGATCCAGGGAGTATCACACTTAGAAAAGTAAGTCAAATAAAGACAATACTGTTATCACTTACATGTTGAATCTAAAAACAAAACAAATGAATAAATACAACAAAACAAAAACAGACTCACAGATGTAGAGAACAAACTAGTGATTATCAGTGGGGAGAGGGAAGGGGGAGGGGCATGACGAGGTGGAGGATTAAGAGACATGAACTACTACGTATAAAATAACTAAGCAAAAAAGATACGTGTACAACCCAGGGAGATATAACCATTATTTTGTAATAACTTTGAATGGAGTAGAATCTATAAAAATACTGAATCACTATGTTGTATACCTGAAATTAACACAGTACAACAAATTGACTAGACTTCAATAAAAAAATTTTTTTTAAATTGCAAACATTTCACCACCATATGGATGGCAAACAAACACGTAGTAAGGTGTCATTAAGGAACTGCAAAGAAAAACTCCAAGGACACCCACCACACACCCATGGGAACGGCCACAGTGAAGAAGACTGGCCACACCAAGTGCTGGCGAGGACGGGCGCAGTCCTCGCACACTGCTCCTGGGGGCGTAAGACGGCAGAGCAATGGGACCAGAGTCAGGCAGTTTCTCTTGAGGTTAAACACACACTTCCACGTGAATCAGCTGTTCTATTCATAGGTATTTACCCTAAAGAACTGAAAACTTATTTTCACACAAAAACCTACACATGAATGTTTACAGCAGCTCAACTCATAACTTTCAGTCAGAACCTAGAAACAACCCAAACACACCTCAGTGAGTGAATGGATACACAAACCACGGATTAAAGTATTAAAAGAATTAGTGGATGAACTGCAAACACATTGTGCTAAGTGACTGACAGCATCCTGCAAAGGCAAAAGCCGCAGGGCTGGGAGACAGATCGGAGGCTGCGGGAGTGGGTGGGGGAACGGTGGCCACAAGGGGCAGCACAGGGCTCAGGCCTCCTGGGTGAGGGACTCAGTAAGGCGCTGTCTTGGTTGCAGTGGTGCTTACAGAACGAAACGCAGTTTTCAAAACGCATGGAACTGTACCCCGAAAAGGGAATTTTACTGTGTTGTGGATTTTTTAAATACTTTGAAATATTTATCAATAAGAAATGATTATATTAAAAATAAGATCTGTCTAAAATTAACGACTGAAGGTTTCACCTAAAGAAGCTAGAAAAAGAATAGCAAAATAAATCCAAGGTACATAGACGGAATCCAATAACAGAAATGAGAGAAATCAAAGAAATAGGAAAAAAATTGACAAAACTAGTAAAGCCAAAAATTGGTTCTTTTAAACATCAATAAAATTAATAAACCCTGAGAATAGGAAGATGTCAGAAAAAGAGAAAACACAAATTCACCAGTAAGAATGAAAAAAGGGTCATCGATGCCAAACTTACAGGTATTCAGTGACTTAACAGGAAATGGTTAATACGATTAATAGTTAACAGGAAAGATTACAAATTCCTTCATGCCAAGAAATTTGACAATCTGGATGAAATGGACAAACTCCTTGAAAAACGCAACTTATCAAAACCAGCACAAGCTGAAACAGAAAGTCTCAACACCCACATACCTAAGAAAGAAACCGAGTTCATCACCAAAACGTCCCCACTAAGGAGCCTCCAGGGCCAGATGGTTTCGTGTGCATTCTATCAGAACGTGTAAGGGACAAAATCGCATCCATTTAAATAACCTCTGTCAGAAAATGGAGAAAGTAGGAGAATTTCAGTTCACAAGCCCAGCAAAGTCTTCATACTAAAATCTGATAAAATATCACCAAAAACAAATACAGACTGGAATCCCTCACGAACACAGACGTGAAATCCACTAAAAACATCAGCAGCTCAGCCCCAGCGAAGCACTGAGAGCCGCCGGTCGGCACCCAGCAGGGCTCGCCCCACGCGAGGCTGGCTGAACCTCCCCAACCACCCAGTGCGACGCACCCTGTTAGACAACGCGAACAAGAACACAACCACTTCCAAAGAGTCGGAGGACGGAAGCAGAAACAAAAGGGAGCCGCCCCAACCTGAGGAAGGACCGCGAGGAGACCGGCAGCTGACACCCGCCCCACGGTGGGACAGCGAGGGGGTGAGGCCAGGACGGCCGCCTTCAGCGGTTGTGCTTAACGCCGCGCTGCAAGTGCCAGCCCTGCAACAAGCACCAAAACGGAAGAGAAGACAAAGACTGGAAGCGACAGGGCAGGCTTTACTTGCAGGCAGTGTGTCCTCTGCAGAGAAAGCCCCAGAAGTCTGTCCCAACAATACCAGTGCGCGTGAGTTCAGCAAGGTAACAGGGTACAAGGTTAACACGCAGAAACGACACACATGCATGTGTGTATGTGTGCTCACGGCAAACAGCTAGATAATGAAAGAAGTTTAAGTCTGTTTACAATAGTGCAACAAGCCAAAAATACTCAGGAGGCATCCAATAAACGAGGTTCAAGACCTCGTCCTTGAAAACTAGAGTAAGAGGGAAGGTAAACGAAAATGAAAGAAACACCACTAACCAGGTACTAGAATAAACAATGAAGGAAGGGACACCGCGTGTTGAGAGTAAGGGGCCAGCTCGTCCAGCAGCTGCTGGAGAAGCAACCACAGAAAAGAAAGAACATACACGTCAGAAGAGGTCTGAGCAGCGGGGGGTGGGGGGGCAGGAGTGTTCAGTTTCCCACAAACCTGCAGACACCATGAGTCTACAAGATGAGAGTCTTCACTGACAGAAAATAAGGGCAGAAAATGCAACAAAACGCGGTCTCCTTCGAAGAGTCAGAAGCCTAACAGAAGTTAGTCCTACAAATGGAATTTCGGTTTATTTATTGTATCAAAGCAAAGACATCATCAATACTTTCACAAAAAATTACAAATAGAATTACAGAAAACAAAGCACGTACAGATTGACATGTTTAGAAATAAACAAAAACCTCAAAGAAAGTATTTGAGATTATCTTTATAAAGCTTTCTACTCTTCTTTAATTTTTGGGGGGGGGTTAATTAGGTTTATTTATTTAGTATCATTTATTTTAATGGAGGCACTGGGGATTGAACCCAGGACCCCGCACATGCTAAGCATGCGCTCTACCACATGAGCTATATACCCACCCCCTAACGCTTTATATTCCTAATAGAACTAAAATATTTTCCTCATAAACTATTTTCAATATTTACAATACTTGAGCATTCGCATGGCCAGTTCTAGAGCACTGTGGACAAGAAGCAGATAAAACCTCCTGTTTTAAAGGCATTCCTCTAAGTAACACAAAAGTGTATTTTAAAATTTTGCCAAATAGATAAGGTACCAACACAGACCCTAACTTCCCCACAGCCTCTGTCACGGCGACACTTGGGGTCGTGAGGAACTGCAGACAGACTCCTTGTCCCCGATGGCCCCACCATCCTCACACCTCCTCCAGCATTAATGACAAACCACTGTGACCTCGTGTAAGGACACAGGCGCCCCCGCTGACCCCCAAACACCTTACGAACTACTGAGAACGTCATGCCTAAGACATCAGATCAGACTGCAGTCCCGCGCAGCGCCAGGCAAGGCCCACCTCGCTGAGGGCGCCACAGCCCGTCCCCGCCAGCTGCTGCTCACTCTGCTCGCTCACACACGTCATCTCCCTCTCCTTGTTTTGCAGAAATGCCTGTGGAAATAATAACAATAAAACATAACAATAACGCCAACAAAGCATTACTATGGGAAATAGTCCTGACCCTGCAGATGCCAAATATCCTAATCAAACAAGCCTGCAGTTCTAAATACAAACACTCAGTTTGAAAATGTTTTTCTATTAAAGTACTTCCTGCCTAAAATGACATATTAGTTCAGCTTTTAAATTCAATTACTGCATTTTTCCAGGCAATCTTGTTTCAAAGCAAGCACCAAAGAGCAAGCAAAGTGTGCTCACCTATTAACTATGGACGAACTCCCACCAGAAGGATATCCAGGGACTAGAGATGGCCTAAAACCCTGTTTTCACTGAAGATATTTTAAAACCATGCAGATGCAACCTTGTGAGGAATGGGCGCAGGCGGCATGACCCCCAGCTTCCCGGGAGGTGGTCAGTTCCCGCTCACCAAACCACCGCCAGGCTGCACCCACCGGCAGCTCGTCCAGGTCTGATTACCGTCCGCACTATACAGAGCCTGTTTTTCATTTCTGCCTCAAAAGCACAATTACATTAAGGCAACAGAGAAGACTTTAAAACCGATTTTTCTCCCGCTGCTGACAGGGAGTGACCAGGAACCCAGAGCACGCCTCTTCTAGAACGTGGCGCCCCCATAGAGGCCCAGAGCAACACCATGGTTTCAGAGTGACCATTAGTCCCTCCTTACAGTGTCCGTCATTAGGGAAGCGCCTCCCTCTCCTGCAGCTCTGCTCCAACAAGCATCCCCCAAAGGCCCGATCAGCAGTGCTGCAGGTGGGGGCGAGGCCTGGCGCAGGGGGCAGCAGGGCTCTGCCAGGCCCAGTGATGCTGCTTTTCCACTGACAGTGCTGGGAAGCTGCTTCCACCACACACATTCCAGAGCTGCTGTGAGCCCCAGCCTGGCGCAGAAGTCATGCACCTGCTGAGTCACCTGCCAGCACCACGTCCCTCTGTCTTCAGAAAGAAGGTCCCGTGTGTCCGGGAGGCCCGAGGTCTGACCCTGTGACTGACGCCTGGCACTCACAAAACCGACTGAACGTAGGTGTCTGCGGTCTCCCAGCTCACCTTCAGACCGGCATTCTCTTCCTGAAGTTCTCTGATGCGCGTGGCGGCACTGCTGTCCTGCACGTCCGGCTTCCAGCCCAGGTGGAGTACTTCTTCGTTTCTGCTCACCAAGTCATGTTTAATTTTTTCTAATTGTTCTTTTAAGTCCAGAACCTTGCATTAGAGAAGGTAAGCATGAAAAATCACCTAATATTCTGACTTAATAATTATTAAATTCACTTTGAAAGATTTAAAAGTACACACCAGAGAAAGCCATCAATTCCCCACAATCCACACAGAAATGTGCTTATCACAGAGACAAACAGTCATCACAAAGCACAAACTGTTCTCACGGACACAGACGTGCAGACGCTGAGCAGAGGAGGCTGCCCACACGGACCTCGTCCTCACGCTCCAGCAGCGCCCTCTGCAGCGCCTCTAGCCGGACCTCTGGGCCCTCAAGACTGCTGCCCGCAGGAGGTACCAGGCACTTGCCCTCGTCCAGCCTGGACTGCAGCGTGGACACCAGAAGCAAGTTGCTCATCTGCTGCTCCTGCAACGCCGCCTTATCCTATTCAAGAGAACAAAGACTGATTTTTAGGCAAGCATTTCAGGAAATCAGAGCCTCAAACCACTGTTTGTTATTAAAGCACAGACTGTCCTCCACCCGCCTGGAGACACCTGCGTGTACCAGTCCCACAACCCACAGGCCCAGCCACACTCCGGAGCAGACGTCTGCCTGGTGGAAGGCGCACCCCAGACAGACCACAGTGCAAACCCGGGCCTCCGCCGCGAGAAGCTGTCCTCAGTAATTACTCAAAAAGTACAAAATGGTCTCAGGACTGTTAGTGGTTTAAAAAGACTGGAAAGAACTTGCCAAGGAACAAGGCAGTGGCTGACAAGACAGCCATACAGTGAATATTAACAGCCCTTTAAAAAGGTTTCAAGGAGCTTTCAACAGGAATAAAAGGGTCACAACATACTAAGCGGGGAAGAAACAGGCGTCCAAACTCGTACATGTGGTCCAGCTTTGAAGAGGAAACGAAGGCGTTTTCCACACCCGCACTGCTGCCTGCTGGGGGAAGAAGCCGCCAGAACGCCCCCCGCAGGCAGAGCGGCCGATGTGCTGGGCACCCTTCCCAGACAGCAAGTCCTCAAGGAGGGCCTTGGCTGCATCAATGGGTCTCAGCAGTATTTTCGAGAACCAAACACCCCGATAAAAATTCCTGTCCTTAAAGCAGGATTTTCTTAGGGCCAAACCAGTGGCTCCAAAATAAGGTTTCTCCCTGAGCCTCAGACTTCCAAGTAACCTTTAAACCTCCAGTGACACGAAATACAAGAAACTTCAATACCCTCGGACTACATGCGTGAAGGAGGGGGCGGCACTGACTAGAAAGGCCGTCCCACCCCCGCCCCGCTTGCTGAGACTTCCCGCCTCCCCTCCAACGTTCGGACGCCAAGGTCTGAACGTCGCAGAGGCGTGTTCCAAGCTCCGATGTGAAGAACGAGCACTGTTGGTGTTATCACCGAGGAACTGACGTAAACTCCTAGCTCAAACAGTGAACTAATCACAACTGGGCTCCACGTAAAATATCTGACGAAATAGGCTTTTCAGCCTAAAATCTTGATCATTCGTTTTATCACTAAGGACAAGCTCGTCAGGTAGAGGAGCGCTACAAAACTGGCGCAAAGTGGTACACGCTACTGTCACACGAAGCGTGACGCTGGGATGGGACAGGAGACGCACAACTGGTTTTCATCCACCTCCTGGCACGGAATCCTGACACCGTTGGGGTCTCCAGCGCAGTGGCGGTGATGAAGGCACCTCGGTACTCGTGACAAGCCCCTCCTGCCACATCTGAGTCTGTGGTACTGAGCGGACGTTCAGGGAGACCCCAGGTCACCTAAGGATGGGGGCTGCTGGGCAAGTGAGCCAACCATGTGATTAAAGGGTCAGAACTTTTCATCTCGCCCCTGACCTCCGGGGGGGAGGGGGCTGAAGGGTGAATCAATCATGGCTGCAGGAGGAAGTCTCCACAAAAACCTGAAAGGACGGGCTCCCGGGCTTCTGGGTTGGTGCACCCCTCCCCACACCCTGCCTTCCACACCTCTTTCATCTGGCTGTTCCTCAGTTGTATCTTCTTTTTAATAAACCGCTGATCTAGTAAGAAAAATGTCTTGAGTTCTGAGAGCCACTCTACCGTATTCGTTGGACCCGAGGAGGTTGTGGGACCCTTTGATCTACACCACTTGGACTTGAGATGGACGTCTGGGGGCAGGGGCAGTCCTGTGGGTCTGAGTCCTTAAGTTGTGGGGTCTGACGCCACCTCCTGGAAGACGGTGTCAGAGCGGAGCGAAGCTGCAGAACACCCAGGGGGGTTGCTGAGGATGGGGGACCTCACCTCCGGTGCCCCGAGTGTCGTAAGTGTGGCGAGGAGTGCCCACAGGGGTCAGAGCCAGGGCTCTGCAGCTCAGCCCCACAGAGCAACGGACCAGGAGCGCCCCAGAACTGCACACCCCACTGGGACCCCCACCCCGAGCACAATGGGGTGCTCACCTGCTCCAGGTCCTGCACGTTCTCCTCTGTCTCTCCAGGTCTTCCTGGAGCTGCACGAGTCTCCTCGCGGTGCTGGCGTTCATCTCCTCGAGACGTCTAATCTCCTCTTCCTTGATTAGCACTTGTCTATCCGCCAATTCTTTCTTTAATATCAATTCATTAAGTCCATCTGATTTTTCTCGCAATTTTTCTTCTAACAATTCAACCTAAAACAACCAAAAAATGCTTCATAAATATTGAAAAAAAATCTTCCAAGTTAAAAAGTGCACAACGAAACTGCGAGGAAATCGACCTCTACGCGGTTTTCCAGACCCGAGCTGCATAGCAAGGCCTGGCGAGGGCGTGTGGTGGAGTTCTCCCAGTAAAAAGACAGACTTTGTTAGTAAAAGAACTTAATTTGGCAGTATGGAGCAGACGCCCCTCAGCAATCACAAGGGCCAGGTGCGGTGCAGCTCAGCCCGGCTCAGTGTCCAGAATCAGGCTGTGTGAGAACAGCCACCCTCCAAAGGCCACACATCTGCGATGCGTTTGCACAACAGCACAGAAACTGCAAAGCTACGGGGAGCGGCCAGGTTAGCGAGGGCCTGCGGTCTCCTGTCTGCATGACCGCCCAGGCCCTGACCTTCTGCAGGACGGCACCACGGAGAGGGGGGGACTGGGTCTCACTTCTTACAGCTGCAAGTGAATCCACAATTGTCTCAAAGTAAGTTTGCGTCTCAAGAAGAATAAGCACATCGACCACAGCTGAACAGACAGGGGCGGCGGGCAGATCCCGCCCCAGGCAGAGGAAGCAGGACAGACAAGCCGAGAGAAGGATCCTGTGCACCCCTCCCCGCGTGGCCGTGCAGCGGGCGGGCGGGCGGACACCAGCACGGAGCTCCCTACCTCCTCATCCAGCTGCGTCCACTGTCGCTGCTCACATAAGGAAAAGCATTTGCAAAGATAAAGTTTAATACCGTCACAGAGAACAGCCCCCCACAGGCACACACCCGCGCGCGGGGCTGACTCACGTCGCTGTCGCAGGGGCCCCGGGGCTGCAGCCTGGCTGCCTGCCGAAGCTGCTCCTCCAGCCTCAGAATCTCCTGCTGAAACTCCTCGCGCTCCTGCTCCCTCTCCGCAGCCTGCTCCTGTCAGAGAGACGGCCTGTTGGGACCCTTTCCTCTGAGCACCGTGGCGCCCACTACACACCCCCGCCCCGAGAAGACCAGTGCGGGTCTCAAGGGAGAGAGCGGAAGGGTCCCTCGCTGCGGGCACCATCAAAGGGTGGCCCTCGGGGGACCCAGGGGGCTCCTGAAACGTGGGCAGGAGGGAAAGACAGAGCCACGGGGCTGCAGGTGCCTCCTGGACAGCGGTGGGCTGGGCGCGCAGTCCTACGCCGGGGCTGTGGAGTGGAGCGTGGGCACCTCAACCCTAACGTCACAGCGAAGAAGTTACTTAAGGACCTGGGGAGAAGTTCCCACTACAATTCGACCCCAAAGAGATCAAAACTCTTACGTCCATGAACTGCCGCTGGCGACGCAGCTGCTTGTCCAGAGAGCCCATCTGCTGACTCAGGGCAGAGAGCTCCTCGGCCTGCCGGGCACACGCCTGGTGCCTGGAGAGCTGCTCCTCCAGCTCGGCCTCCAGAACCCGCATCTGCGCCAGCAGAGCCGAGCGGTCCTTCTCACACTGCTTCCTGGCCTCCGACTGCTCCTCTGTGAGAGAATCCACCTCCCTGCGAAGAGCTGCAGGTGCAGAGAGAGCAGGCGGGCGAAGCTGAGCTCAGGGTGCCTGTTTCCGCAGAAACACAGAGCACCCAGCCGCCAGGGCAGCCCGAGCCCTCCCGTCCCCTACCCCTGCAGGCGTGTGACCTGACTGAGGACGCACGGCCGCCGGAGAGGCCGAGCCCGCAGCCTGGAAACAGCCACTGAAACGGATACTGACTAGCCTGTAGAGAGCAGACAGACAGCAAGCCCACGCTGCGCAGCACGGGGAGCTGCACTCAACGCCTGGTAGTGACCCACGGGCGGAAGGGTCTGAAAACGAGTATGCGTGTGTCCCTGCACGACTGAAGCTTGTGCCGCCCCGACGCGGACGCAGCGCTGTGAGCTGACCGCGCTTCAACGCAACACATGCACACCGAAACAATGCTGAGCGCGTTCACAAGAGGGAAGGGAGGGGAAGAACCACACCTTTTATTTATTTACTTATTTGTGTTGGGGGGGAGGTAATCAGGTTTACTTATGCATTTGTTTTTAATGGAGGTACTGGGGACTGAACCCAGGGCCTCCTGCATGCTGAGCACACACTCTGCCACCGAGCTCCACCCTCCCCCTCAATTACTCCTTTTAAATGAAAATCAGCTAAAATGCACATTTTTAAAGCCTGAGAAGAGAACACATCTTGGTGTCCCCCAGTGACAGACCAGGTCACATACACTCTCCATTATGGGGACACACACTGTGAATTAAACCTGCCCCCAGGGAGCCCAGTCCCTGGCAGACCAGCCACCAGCACAGGGCTCACTAAGCCGGGGACGACAAGGCCACAACCCAAGGGGAGACTGCAGGTTAATAAGCACCTAGGGGAAACGGTTTTCCCTGTGTGGGTCCTGACGTGTTGAAACTACCCAGAAACTGCAATATTCAGTTCATAAGTTTGTATCTACAAGTCATTAGCTTTCAAAAGTTAATTATTTTAGTTTGTAAAAATCAATCTTTTATAACAAAGTACCATCACCACTAATATAACATTCTCAATAAAATTCCATGCTAGTAAGTCAGCAACTATGGTAAATCAGGCTTAAACATGCAGCCAGAGCAACGTCATTCCCAGCCCTTGGGGACTCAAAACGAGGGCTCGTGTGTCAGCACCACCTTCAGGACTGAGGAGAGGCGTCCATGCAGCCACTGAGGCCACGCTAGGGCTGAGTCCAGAGTCGGGAGGCTCCCGGGCCAAGCGCAGGCCCCCGCCCAAGGACAAGCATCGCAAGACGTGGTCCCTGCAGCAGCAGCGTAAGCATCATGAGACTGACGCCTGCCCGCTTTTACGTGCTGAATACTGAAGATCAAAGTTACCGTTTTATGTAACCGTTTGCCACAAAAGCTCTGAAGCACTTTTCTTCTTTAGTAAAAACTTTCCAAAACCCGACGCAAACACAGCGCATCACAGAAATAACGCGTTTGTTCTCACAAACCTGAATCCTTGTGTGCTACAGTAACAGGAAGGCCTGCAAATGAGAACACACAGCATTTTCAGGGATGAAAACAGAGAACAGGAGGTCTGGGAGTGAAAGTCAGCAATCAGAAGGGAGGGTGGCAGCAGCAGGGTCTCGGGAAGCACTGGGGCCTCATGCGTCTCTAAATTTGTGTCTCAGTAACATCTGTGCCTCCAGGATCCAGATGCTGGTGCTGGGGTGTGGCCCGATGGGGTTCATGCCTTGATGGTAAAGGGGCCCACGAGCTCCTGCCCTCCTACATGGGACGGACGGCCCAGAGAGAAGGCGCCTGTGACCCGACAGCGGCTCCCGCTAGGAGGCAGCTCAGCTGGTGTCCTCACCTTGGATTCCGCCGCCAGGACCATGTTAGAAATGCCTCCAGCAGCTGGGCCGCCAGGTCTCTGGCATCAGCCACAGCAGCCTGGACAGACTGAGGCCCCTGTGGGCCCCGGCTCCCAGGGGCTCTGGCACCGACGGTAAGGAAAAACACAGTACAGACGGCATCGCCCTGAAGGCGCCAGGGGAGGTCCAGGCCCAGGTGTGGGTGGATCAGGGCCTGCGGGCCAGTCCAGGCAGAGTCACTGGGGCCTTGGGCAGCCGGGACGAGGCTGCTCCCCGGCTCAGGGCCGTGTGGCCGCTCAGCCGGCCCCGCACTTTGTGTCTCCCACGGGGTCCCGACTCTGACGCACTTACACCCGATGCGAGGAGGGTGGGCTGCAGGCGTGAGAGGTCACGGTAACAAACACGGGTCTCAGACGGGACAGGCCAGGGCACTAATACCTGGGAACAGGGCACTGCCCACTGGGACGTGAGGCCCACAGCACGTGTGGACAGGAAAGTATCAGGCAGAAGAGCCGACATTGAGGAAAAAACGACGGACAAAGCCCCGGATGCGAGACGCCAGGCCCCCGGCAGAGCGGGACCTCCTAGACACAGTCCTCTGACACGTGAGAACATCCCAGCAAAGAGAAGCGCCTGAAAACACCCGCAAAGACACATGACCGACACCTCAGCCGAGAGCGGGGTGCCAGAAAACGACGTGTGCGGTCTCGAAGTGTTAAAGGAAAGGAAATCAAGCCTAGGGCTGCATCTTCCAGCCACCACTTTATTTAAGGATGAAAGTGAAACAAGGAAACTTTCAGGTCCTCAGGGTCTTGGAAAGTACCCCTCACAGTCCTTCTTTGAAAGAGTCCAGTCCACAGAGTCGGGGCGAAAACAACCCCCATCTCACTGCCACCGAGGGAGCACCGTGCACACGACAGGGACTCGCGGAGCACACGTGCTCTTGTGCTCACACACCCGTCCCTGGGCCGAGCAGAAGCCGGAGGGGAGAGAGGACTGGTTTCCGTGACGGGGGAGCAGAAGGCCGCACGGTCAGCAGCGGCCAGCCGCCACCCCTCAGCGGCGAGGCGGGAGGGGAGCAAGTCCCAGGAAGCCCCGAGACGACGCAGAACAAGAAGACGCCACAGGTCAGCTTTTAATGAACACCACGTCCGTAAGGGACACAATTTAGAGTATAAAAAAGACTGAGAGTGAAGGGGTGAAAAAAGACGTCCCGGGGAAAAAGAAAGCAGGTAAATTTTTTTTAACATCAGAAATTTACATCAAAAAATGGAAAAGAGACAAAGAGATGTTACATGTATTACGAGAAAACTGAACAAGAAGATCAAGTCTAGAAATGGCCACAGACAGTTTTAATAACTCGTGTGGACAGAAATTAAGGCAACGGTACAATCACTCTTTGCTTCAGGAGACTGCAGGCCTGTCAGGCTCGCACGTAGACACAAGACCAAGGGTTAGCATGAGTCACAAGTCCCACCCCAGAGAGGTGACAAGGACAAAGGCAGAAATTAACCAAGCAGACAAAACAGGAATTTGGTAGTTTATCAATGAGAAGAATTAAAGAGAAGAACTTGGAGGAAGAGAAATGAGTTTCCTGACTGGCGGGGATGGAGCACGCCCAGACCCAGCTCAGCACAACCCCCGAAAGGCAGCGGCTCCCTCAGGGATGAGACGGGGCGAGGGCCCCCACGCACCCCCATTTGCCTGGTCGGGACAGGTCTGGGAACCTGGACCCGAACTCACGCAGAATCACATCTTACAGACCCGCTGATGACACCGCCTGCAAATGTCACACTGTAAGCTTTTTGTTTAAACTGTCTTTATATTAAATATTTTAAGATCAAAACTAAGAATCTAAAACTATAATGAACTACTTTTGCTAAAACTGTACGTCTTCCTAGCTGAAGTTAACATTAGGCGCTTATTTGGTAATTTTAAACACAACTTCAAAGCAGCCTCATTTTCTTCATGGTTTTGGGCTGTTTATCTTGTGAAACGTGAAGTAAAGCGGAGGCACCACGTCAAGGGGTTTTAACGCGGAGCCCGGGCCACTGAGGAGTGTATGGTGCACATGTGCCCACAGGGCGCAGCCGGGAACCTCAGAACCAGGCCAAAGCACGGGGGTCCAAGGACTTGGCCAGAGGCCTCACCTGCCCCTTGTTCCCGTTAACAGACTCATCCTCCCGTACGGGACGGACGGCCTGAGCGCCTGGCACGTTCAGCCCAACTAGCTTCTGCCTCCAGTGAAAATTCCTTGTAAGGCAAATCTGCCTTCTCTGTCTTTAAAAGCCCCAACTTTGTTCCCCAGGGGGAACCGAATCTCTCTGCTCCAAACTACAATTCTTCGATCCCAAATGAACACTTTCTGCTGGCTTACTGCCTCGTGGGACGTCCGGGCTGACACTGACAACAAGGCAAGCAGTGTTCTCAGCACCTCCTCTCGCTGGTGACCAGGCCTTGTGGAGAGCTGGGCACCAGCCATGCCCCCTGGCAGCCTGACCCTGAGGAGCCCGCGCCCTCACCTCCTTCACCTTAGACCTCCAGCCCACGAGCCAGCAGCTCCACCCACAGCCCAGCAGCTCTGTGTCCTACCGGCTTCTCTCTCTCCCGCTGCCACGGTCATGGCCTCCTTCTGGCCCTGCAGCGCGTGGTTCTCCTCCTGCAGCTCCGCCAGCTGCTGGTTCGCCCGCTGCAGCTGCTGCTGCAGGCCCTCCAGCTCCACCACCAGGCCCCGCTCACTCGCCTCCTTCTGGCCCAGGGCCTCCTGCAGCCCGGCCTTCTCCTCCTTGAACCCCTCGATGATGCCTGCGGACAGAGGACAAGAGGGACACGGGAGACACAGCAGCTGAGGCCCCGCTGGGAGCTGAGCGGCCGGGCCTGTGTCCTGCTCCCGCACAGATGGCTCGGGTCACCTGCGGGCCAGACGAGCGCCCGGCACACGAGGCCTCCGTGGGCGCCGGACACCAGGTCCGTGGGTCACTGAGGCCACAGCCCCTCCTGCCAGGCTCACCCTCCGCCTTGTGCAGCTCCAGTGTCAGCCGGGTCTTGGCCGTGCTCTCCGCGTCCAGGCATTCCAGCAGCTCCTGGTGCTTTCTCACCACCTGCGCTGTCTCCTCGCTCTTGCAGCTGAACTCCTTCTCCAGGTGAGAGTGGATCTGACGTGCCTCCTCCAGCTGCGAGACACGTTTGACAATGGGACTCGGTACCGAAAGCGATCAAAGCTTCACGGACACTGACAGAGTGCTCCTCGCACAGAATTTGGGTGAAACCACAAACACCCCGTCAACAGCAACGTCAGTGTGTGCTGCCACGTCAGTCACTGAATAACCAACACGTTCTCAACACAGAAAAGCTCCGTGCCCGCAGGCAGACAGCCCGCTGCTCGCAAACACTGCCCCCACGTGCGTCTGTGGGTGGCACTGAGAGGAGAGCATCTCAAAGGGCCCGGGCAGGGACAGGCCACCTGGTGACCTGCAGGTGGAGGGCATGCAAGGGCTCGGTCACCACACCGAGCAGAAAACTCACCGCACCTCCACTGCCTGTGTGCGACCCTCCCTCCCCAGCTGGGTCACCACGAAGCCCCTCCCACGCTCCCCTGGTGGGCACGTCCTGTCTGAGGCTCCCAGGCCATCCACACAGGCTGGGGGCCCAGATCAATTTCTCAGTTCAAAATGTGCACACACAACTATCCTGGCAGAAAGCTCAGCACCTGGCCTGGGCGCCTCCGCCCCCTGCGTGTGACCAGCTCTGACCCACCCAGGGCCTGGCCTCTTAAGGACGCCTGCCAGCTTCCCCTTGACAACAGCTCTGAAGCGGCCTGGCTGCTGTGGCCCCTCCCACAGCCCCCGCCCTCTCGAACACCTGCCCGACTCCAGCTGGCCGGCCACCACCTGCTCTTCCTGCAGCCAAAGGCCCTCAGGTGGCCCCCACCACCGACCCCGACCTGAACAGGGCCCTCCTGCCAACTCCCACCTCCCACAAGGCTCACCCACCTCACCAAGCCCGCCTGCTGCCCCCACGGAGCACACTGGTGGGGGCAGGACTTCTGACGAGCCAGCGAGGCCCCCACACACCCGCGCACGAGCGCAGATGCGATGCAGGGCCTGGCGCCAGGTCAGACCTGCAGGCGGGATGCCTGCCCACAAGACGCACCCAAGAGCATCTGCTTCCATTAACTGCACTTGGGAGACACTGAAAAGCACCTGATGACTTCTCAGACGCGGCCCAACTCCATCCAGTTTTTGAGAGAAGATGGAAAGAAACTGGAGGAGAAACGTCCGAGTTCAGCACTGCTGACCTACTTGCTTTCACTGCAGGGGCAACACTTTCTCGGTTTTCCTGAGATGGCAACAGCCTCACGTGAAAATGCTCATCTTCTAACTGGACAACTTCGGAAAAAGGTCTCTATCGCCTTCCACATCTTCCTATTTAAGGTCTTTGATAATTTTCTGAAATTTTCTAAAAAGTTAACAAAAAATTCTCATCTTCGGTAACAATCTTTAAATATAAATATATTCAATGTGGAATTAAACCAGGGTATGAAGTACATAAAGGCGGGTGGACACACGTGCCCTAAAGTAAGTACACTGAGGATCTAGTTTTCATCCACAGCAAGCCTCCTTCCTCGAGAATTTCGGCTGAGGAAAGACTCCTACTTGAGGAAGCCACGTGGGCGAAATCTCTGGAGTAACAGGACCAGGACGGCACCAGCAGAAGAGAAGAGAAGACCGGGAGGAGTCAGGGTCGCCTGGGAGGGGACACTCCCCGCCTCGCCTGCGAACCGGGAGTCAGGAACGCTGCAGGAGCAGCGCCCAGCAGAGCGTCCGGGGCAGCTGCCGGCCCCGCCGCCCACTTGCTCAGCACCTCCCTCTGAAGAGGACCAACTGCAGGCCCCACGCGGGCACGTCTCACCTGCCGTGTGGAGTCCAGGACCATCTCCAGGAGGCTATCCACCGCCAGGCCCAGGCTCCGGTAGACCCTCCGGATGGGCTGTTCGCACTCCAGCGTGCTCTCCGGGCTCATGAAAAAGCTTTCGCGGATGTGACTGCTAATCTCGGCCACCGAGGATGTCTCCGCACACTCGGGCGAGGTCCGGTCCAGCTCCGGCAGGGCCGCGTCAAGCCCAGGCCACGTCTCATCAGGCACAGAGGCTACGAAGTGAGCAGACAGGGGAGCTGCAGGCGGACAGGCACCCCCACCCGCGGAGCGGCCTTGAGCGCAGGGCCGCGGTGCTCACCTGCGGGCGCATCAGGCGGGCTCTCCTCCTCCAGGCATAGCCCCACGCGCTCGCCAATCCGGCTCCTCAGAGTGACGGCAGCCTCGAGTGTCTCTCCAAACAAACCCAGCAGCCTTCTCAGCGCGTCCCGGAGAGCTCTCCTGGGGGGGTGTGCGGCAGGCGGCATCAGCCCAGACCCCAGCCTTCCGGCCCCGGGCAGGGGCCCTGAGCCACACACCAGCTGCACCCAGAGCCGCCTCATAGCTGCTCTCCCCTTGGCGGGGCTGTATGCGCCCAGCCTGTCCCACAGGAGCAGAGCCAGGCACCAACGTGGCCATGCAGGGTTCTACCCTCTCGTGAGACACCTGCTGGAAAATCAGAAGTCACACCTAACCCACTGCCAGTATGCACGGTGAGCACTCCTGGTGCCTCCCTCTGGGGCCACACAAGCCTGGGAGGTGAGAGGCTCGGTTTCTCACAGGATTACAAGTCAGTCTGCACCCTGCCTCTGAACTGCATCCTTCTGATCCGGCCCTTCCAGCTGGGGCTCATCATCTGTGGCATGGTGACCCCACCGGGGATGCGGTCCTGCCCCCGCAAGATGTCACCCCATCCATTCACGACTCACATCCCTCCCTCGGGCCCAGCACAGAAACTCCACTCAAACAGAAGAGCCACCCCTCGGGAAGCGAACCTCCAGGTGAGGGACAGAGACAGTGAGAACAGGGTCTGGGGACTGAGACGAGGCGGGCAGGAGCAGACTGCACGTAGCTGGGGCCCTGCCTCTGCAGGAGGCTACCAGGGCCGTCAGAGCCCTGTGGCAGGGGTGGAGGGGGCAGCGTGAGGACCACCCTGGAGACGGAATTGGGCAGGCAGTGTCTGCTCTGCTCTGAGATAAAACACCAGAAGGCGCTACTCTCCCCCCCCAATCCTTGTACCGTGTCCAGGCCATGCCGACCCCTGGTCCCCGCCATGATCCTCACAAACGCCAAACGCCTGTGGGTATCGGGGCGTCTCAGCCACCAAGCACGCCCTCCAAAACCTCAGGTGCTTTGCTCCGCCACGCCCTCCCAGGTTCGCAGCCGGGCCTGCCACCCTCTGCCCGGCACACACCTACGAGCCACAAGGCAGCTACGAGCACGTGCTGGCAACAGCGTGAAAGGTCCTCACGGAAACAAGGGAACCGGAAAGGGAGTGAACGGAGACTGCACCCGTGTGACAAGACACCTCCCCACCTGGCCTCCCCTGACCCGCAAGCCGCACACACCCCGACCCCTGAGCTCAGACCAGGGGTCAGGGTGGCAGGGACCACAGAGCACCGAGCAGCCGGACCAGACACTGGCAGCGACAGGCCAGGGGCTGCAGAGGGGCCCAGAGAGCCGACTCAGGAGTTGCCCTTCCCAGCAGTGCCACTGAGCCGACTCCGCAGAGGAGACCAGCGCATTCCCTGATGTCAGGCGCAAACAACTGAACGGCCCCAGGCCAGGCCAGACCCACAGGGGAAGCCAAACTAAGACCACAAGAAGGCACGAGGGGAAATGTGCGCGGCTCCAGGCAGGACACTGTTTCTTACGTAGGGCTCCAGAACAAACCAGAGGAAGGGACGGGTCGGCAACTGTGCCTTCACCGCGTCAGCAGACTTCACAATCTGGCAAAAGGTAAAGGTCTGGCAAAGCGAGGTGGAGGCATGTGGTTCTGTGACATGACTCAGTACTTGTCTGGACGTTTAACATCTTCTTGAACGAGAGGGTCCGAGCACAGGGGTCCTGTCCCGCCAGGGGCCCATGCACAATCTGGCCATGAGCAGGGCTCGGGCGGCGGCCACTGACCTTTCGCCGTGAGACAGGTCGATGTCGGACTTGAGCATTGAGATGAGGTTCGTGCCCTCCTGGTTCTCCCGTTCCCGCCTCTGCTGGAGCCTCTCCAGTTCCGAATGGCACTCTTCTACCTCGTGGTTTAAGGATAAAATTTGGTCTTGTAGCTGTTGAAGAAAAACAAAGCTTTAGTTAGAACAATTCAGTTAAAATTAAGTTTCTGTGAAGGGCTTTCTTTCTCCAAGAGCAGGTTTGTGGGGAGGAGAAAACAGATGAGGGAGCAGCAGGGGTCCCGTAAAACAATGTCAGAAAGGACATAGACAGGACACCAGCCAGAGGAAGAGAGAGAGAAACTGTGAAACCAATTTACTGAAGAGAATGAAAGAAACTGTAAACGGTTTCAGTGTTGGGGGCAGAGAGAACTCAGGAAAGAGTGCAGATTCGGTAAACCACTCGTTATGACAGGCTAAGACATTCAGGTAGCTGAAAAAATCAGAGAAAATGGAAAAACTAAACAGGATTCAAGGTGGCAAACAACGACCAAAAAATGGACAAAAGAGACAGAAGAGGAGCCGCGCCGCCAGCGCAGGAGCCGCATGCCCGACGGGTCAGGGCTGCTGGAGTGCGGGCGGGGGCGGCGAATCCACGCAGAGCCCACGGGACAGCAGACTTGTCCCTCAGCCAGTCCTCCTTTCTCCACTGCTGAGAGAACACAGAAACTGGGGGAGAAAACCTAAGAGGGACCACAAGCAACTTTGAACAAGAAAAAGTGCAAATAAAAATCTTAACAACACAGAAAATATGGTCTTATTACACTTTAAAAATCAGATTTTTACTTTAATGTCTTCCCACAAAGAAAGTTTAAGTTTAGGCAGCTTTCTCCTTAAATGATTTCATTAAACATTTAAGGAACAGATCATTTCAATCACATAAAGACTCTTCCAGAGAGTAGAAAGGCTGCGAGAGAGGACACTCCTCACTTGTTTTGAGACTGAACCGTGAAAAAAAGGAAAATTACAGTCAATCACAATGAAAAGAAACATGATGCCAAAGGTTTAAAAAGGATACTAGAAAATAAAATACAGGAATACCTGGAAATTGTGTCTCATTTTATCACATAGATACGCTGGTTTAATGTTAGAAAATCATTCAAGTGATTTATGTTAACAGGTTAAATGAGAAAAATAATATATCAATAAATGGAGAAAAAGCAAATTTAACACCCATATGATAAATATCTATCACAAATTGGAGAGAAGAAATCTTCCTTCACCTGAAAAAGATCACCAACAACTTCCCGTAGCAACAACTTAGTTGTTAAAGGCGGAAGACTCCCCAGTCAGGTCAGGACACAAGAGTGGCTGCATTCACAGACCTTCCTCAGCTTACGACGGGGCTGCGTCCTGACAAACCCGTCGTAAACTGCAAACTAGACCTCTAAGTCGAAAATGCACTTAATACACCTGACCTACCGAACATCACAGCTTCGCTCCGCCTGCCGTTAACGAGCTCGGACACTCACGCCGCCTACAGCTGGGCACAATCTTAACACAGAGCCCGTTTGATACTGCAGTGCTGGCTGACACTGTGTGGAAGGGAGAAGCTGGGGGCTGTCATCGCCAGCTGTTCGTCCTCCTGACCCACGGCTGCCCCGTCCGGCCTGTGAGGGGATCGGACCACAGCACTAGCCCAGGAGAAGACAGAAGTTCAAAGTACGGTTTGCACTGAATGTGTGTCACTTCTGCACCGTCATGGAATCCAAAAATCCTAAGTCAAGCCATTTTAAGTTAGGGGCCATCTGTACTCAATAACCATCGGTTTTGAAGTACAATTAAAGCACTTGACAACAAGTGTTGAAATACAAATCTAACAAACGATATGCAAGGTCTCCATGGAGAAAATTATAAAATCCAGTGGCAGCAACTACCAAAATCAATTAAAAAGAGGTATTCCAGAATCCCAGAACACATCCATCTTGTAAAGACGTCAGTTCCCCTGAAGGAGTGCAGAGACAATGCATTTCGCCCACAACCCCGCAGGAGACTTCCGAGCCTGGTGCTCCCGAGAGCTGGGGGCCAGCAACAGCAAACATCCCTGAAAAGAGCGGAGCTGGGGCCGCGGGCTGCGGGCCACATGCTGGGCCCCTGGAACTGCAGGGCATTGCTCGGGGCAGACAGACTGATGAAATAAACCTAGGAGGGAGGCCAGAGGCCACCCACATGCACGTGTGAGCCTGACCCATGACCCATGACCCCGTGGCCCGTGGGCCGCAAGCAAGGCAGGGATAGACTCAACACGCAGGTCTCAGCCCTCACGGGAAATAACTCCGCTTCCGTGTATCCTTCCAAGTGAATTAAAACGACAACTCAGAAAATAATCAGAGAATGCTTATGTGAAATAGGAAATGATTTCTTAAGCAAGGCAGGCAAAGTACAAACTGCAAAAGAAAAAAGGTAATCGCGTTAACTCATCAACCAAGAACACCTGCTTGTCAAAAGATAACAAGACGAAGGAAAAAACACAAACTAGAAAAAACCCAGAAACACAAGGGACGTCCCTAGACCAGCAGGGAGCAGGCGGGCAACTGTTTCAAACAGAAAATGGCCAAAGACACAAAACAGCGTTTCACAGACAGGGAAACAAAAGCGGACCACAAACACAGTAAAAAACACACAGTCTCATCAGCAAATTAAGACCACCACGAAACAGCACTTTGTTGCCACAGAACTGGCAAGAATTAAAAAGCAGGAACATCCCAAGTCCTGGTGAGGAGGTGGAGTAGCAGGCACTCGAGGGCACACGTGGTGGACGCACTCAGAAACAGGCTGGCGCCGCCTGACCAGGCTGCACGCGGGCAGAACACACTTGCAGGGATAAGAAGCTCCTAGAAAACTCAGGGTGGCTCGACTCATCAAGGCAGAAAACCAGTAATAAGCCCAGTCCACTGCCAAGCCGCTGGGGTACGTGCACCGGACAGAGGACATCAGGCAACGAGGACGGTGGGGCAGTCCTGCCAGCGACATCGGGGCACCTGCAGTCAACCTGGTGACACAGCCACTTGTGAAGGACGAAAACAGCCACATCCCCACAGCAGAGCCTCAGGAACACGTCAGTGAGTGAGAAACCTAGGCAGATCGAAAGGGGTCACCTCGGTGGATGGAGGGTGGGGGAGGCCGGAGGAGTCTTTCAGGCACCTAACCTGGGTGGCAGGACACAGGTCCTCACACCACAGCGTCACTTTACTCAACAAGCACATTTTAAGGACACTTGTAAGATAACTTCACAGTGAAAACAGCTTCCTGCAAGTCCAGTCGGCCTGAAGGCCGCGTACCCTTCTCCCTGACCTCCGGGGACACCCCTGGGCGGCAGCAGAACCCCAGGCCCATGCACCTACGCAGGTCTCCTGCTGCTCCAGCCCCACATGTTCACACGAGAGCCCCCCAACTCCCGGTGCCTTTCAGTCTTTCCTCTGCAATCCTCGCTCACACCCCCTCCCAACTCTAAGTGTTAACCCACCTTTAAAGGTAAAGATACACTTTGGCAGTTTCTCTCTTAATTCAGAATTTAACATTTCTTTTACCTGTGCTAATGCTTTAAATAGAATCGTCATTGCTTTTGGGCTTTTGGAACTTGTTATAAAATCAGAGTTTTTCCTTTTGTTTAACTGAAGCGTAATCAGTTTACAATGTTGTGTTAATTTCTGCTGTACAGCACAGTGATTCAGTTACACATGAAGATATATCTTCTTTTCCATATTCTTTCCATTATAGGCCTTCACAAGGTACTGAATGTACTTCCCTGTGCTGTACAGTACAATCTTCTCGTTTACCTATCTTGTATATAGTAGCTTGTACCTGCTAATCCCAAACTCCCAATTCATCTCTCCACCCACCGTCTTCCCCCCGATAACCGTAAGTTTGTTTTCTATAGCTGTGAATCTGTTTCTGTTTTGTAAATAAGTTCACTTGTATTGTTTTTTTAGATTTCACATGTGAGTGATATCATATGGTATTTTTCTTTCTGTCTGGCTTACTTCACTAAGAATGACAATCTTCAGGTCCATCCATGTTGCTGCAAATGGCATTATTTTATTATTTTTATGGCTGAGTAGTATTCCATTGTATAAATATACCAGTTTCTTTATCCAGTCATCTGTCGATGGACATTTAGGTTGTTTCCATGTCTTGGCCATTGTAAATAGTGCTGCTATGAACACTGGGGTGCCTGTATCTTTTCAAATTAGAGTCTCCTCCAGATACATGCCCAGGAGTGGGATTGCCGGATCATAGGGTACATCTATTTTTAGTTTTTTAAGGAATCTCCATACTGTCCTCCATAATGGCTGCACTAAACTGCCTTCCCACCAACAGTGTAGGAGGGTTCACTTTCTCCACAGCCTCTCCAGCATTTACCATTCATGGACTTTTTAATGATGGCCATTCTGACTGGTGTGAGGTGATGATACCTCATTGTAGTTTTGATTTGCATTTCTCTGATAATTAGTGATACTGGGCATTTTTTCATGTGCCTCTTGGCCATTTGTATGTCTTCATTGGAGAAATGTTTGTTTAGGCCTTCTGCCCATTTCCGGATTGGGTTGTTTATTTTTTTGTTATTACATTGTATGAGCTGCTTATTTTGGAAATTAAGCCCTTATCAGTCTCATCTTTTGCAAATACTTCCTCCCATTCCATAGTTTTTTTGTTTTGCTTATGATTTCCTTTGCTGTGCAGAAGATCATAAGTTTAATTAGGTCCCATGTGTTTATTTTTGCTCTTATTTGTATTGCCTGGGTAGACTGACCTAGGAGAACACTGCTAAGATTTATGTGAGAAAATGTTTTGCCTATGTTTTCTTCTAGGAGGTTTATAGTGTCTTGTCTGATGTTTAAGTCTTTAATCCATTTTGAGTTTATTTTTGTGTATGGTGTGAGAGAGTATTCTAATTTCATTGATTTACATGCTGCTATCCAGTTTTCCCAACACCACTTGCTGAAGAGATTGTCTTTTCTCCATTGTATATTCTTGCTTTCTTTGTTGAAGATTAATTGATTGTATTTCTATGAGTTCATTTCTGGGCTCTATTCTGTTCCACTGATCCATAAGTCTGTTTTTGCGCCAATACCACACTGTTTTGATTACTGTAGCTCTGTAGTATTGTCTAAAGTCTGGGAGGATTATTCCTCCAGTTTCATCTTTTTCTTCAGTATTGCTTTGGCAATTCTGGGTCTTTTGTGATTCCATGTAAATTTTAGGATTATTTGTTCCAGTTCTGTGAAAAATGTCCTGAGTAATTTGATAGGGATCACATTAAATCTGTAGATTGCTCTGGATAGCATGGCCATTTTAACAATATTAATTCTTCCAATCCAAGAGCATGGGATATCTTTCTATTTCTTTAAGTCATCTTTAATTTCCTTAGTCAATGTTTTGTAGTTTTCCACTTCTAAGACTTTTACTTCCTTGGTCAGATTTATTCCTAAATATTTTATTTTTTTGGATGCAATTTTAAAAGGGATTGTTTCCTTACTTTCCTGATATTTCATTGTGAGTGCAGAGAAATGCAACAAATTTCTGTATGTGAATCTTGTGTCCTGCTACCTTGCTGAATTTGCTTTATCAGCTTTAATAGCTTTTGTATGGAATCTTTAGGGTTTTCTATACATGGTATCATGTCATCTGCATAAAGTGACAGTTTCACCTCTTCTCTTTCAATTTGGATCCCGTTTATTTCTTTTTCTTGTCTGATAGCTGTGACTAGAACTTCTAAGACTAGGTTGAACAGAAGCAGTATGAGTGAGTATCCCTGTCTTATTCCAGATTTTAGTGGGAACGCTTTCAAGTTTTCACCATTGAGTATTATGCTGGCTGTAGTTTTGTTACAAATAACTTTTATTATGTTGAGATATGTTCCCTCTGTACCCACTTTGGTAAGAGTTTTTATCATGAATGGATGACGAATTTTATCTAAAACTCTTTTTGCATGTATTAAGATGATCATGTGATTTTTGTCCTTTGCTGATGTGATGTATCACATTGATTATCTGGGTATGTCGAACCATCCTTGTGTCTTGAGTTGAATCCAACTTGATTGTAGTGATCTAACAGTATTTTGCCCACGAGCCATGTTACTTTTTGTATTTTTTACAGAATGAGAAGTTTTTTTAAGAATGCATATATTGTATCAGCAGAAATGCCTGGAACTTTGAAAAGTTTAAGATATACTTTGAAAGGCTCTCTTCTTCATGGAATCCCCTTCCTGCCTAAGCCCTGGTGCCTTCCTTGCTCTGCTGCACCCACCCCCAACCTCTCCTCCCTTCTCGTGGCTGGGCTCCTAGCACAAGGGGCTTCTGCAGCTAGGAACTTGCTCTTTGATCTGCAGGTGATGACTGACCTCCACAGACACATACTGCCCTGAATCTGGCTGGGAGTGATTTTTACACCGTTGGTACCAAACTAAGTCAGACACACCCGTGTGCAGAGTCTGCATTCAGAAGCCCTGGCCAATGGACCACTAGCAAATGAATAGAACCCTCCTGGGCCTCAGTGTCCCGAGAGGGAGAAAACTGCCTCATACGTAACGCGCCTGTCACAATGCCTACACACATTCACAAGACTGTGTTAGTAAGTTCAAATCCAGTGACCCTATAATGATGGCAGAGTCAGAAAAAAAAGCAGTACTACTACAACTTTGAAAAAGCTACACTGTCGGACTATCTCTAAAAACAGTATGATTATACATCTTTATTTTCAATAATAATGAACAACAACAAAAAAAAACCCAATTCAAAAATTCTCAAGGACCTGAACGGATAAAAATGGCCATTAACCCATGGAAAGCTGTCCAACATCACTAATCAGTAGGGAAACACAAATAAAAACGAGGTATCATCTCACTTTCACTACGAAGGCTATTATTTTTAAAAATGAAAAACGAGTATTGACAAAATTGTAGAGAAGCTGGAACCCTTGTGCACTGCTGGTGGAAATGCACCATATGCCACAGCCTCTGTGGACATCCGCTCAGCAGTTCTTCAAAAAGCTAAACATGGAATTATCACGTGACCCATCACCAGTCCTAGATATACACCCCAAAAAGCCGAAAGAAGGAGTGGAAACAAACACCTGCACTCCAGAGTTCATGGCAGCGCTGTGCAGCACAGCCAAAGGAGGAGACAGCCATCAGCAGATGGACAAGGGAACGGAATGTGTCATCTACACACAGCAGACGGACAAGGGAACGGAATGTGTCATCTACACACAATGGAATATTGCTCGGCCATGAAAAGCCGTGAACAGTGGTACGTGCTACAGGCGGATGGACCTAGAGGACACGTGTGAAGTGGAATAAGCCAGACAGAAGAACGAGACTGAGAGCCGCCAAATTCACGGAGGCAGAGAGGCCAGTGGTCAGTGCCCAGGCTGCAAGGAGGGGACGGGAATCACTGTTCTTGGGGACAGAGCTTCTGCCTGGGATGAAGAGCAGGTTCTGGAAAGACAGTGCTGATACCTGCACAGCACTACAAATGGGGTTAATGCCACCAAACTGTACACTTACCGTGGCTGAAAGGGTAAAAATTATGTCATGCACGTTTTACAAAGAAAGTCTTCACCGAGAAGACACGTTCCACGAACCTGCAGAATCTGGTGATCCTTCTCCTGAAGCTGCAGAGACAGAGACTCCTTCTCTTTCTGGTGACGAGACTGTACCTGCTCCTGCTCAGGTCTATGCGTCTCCTCTTCCTCCCACAAAGCAGCTTTCTTCTCACCTTCAAACTCACCCTGCACAAAAGAACACTGTTAACAACAAAAGACTCAATTAAGCTATAAAATTACCCTTGCTCCACTGCATTGCTATCCACCAGAATTCAGCACATTCAACACGTATTTATTGAGTCTGTACTCTCAAAAGGCCAAGGCCAGCACCCGGGTGAATGTGTGTCCAACGTGCTCATCTCACAGAACACAAAGAAATGCCTGCTGCCTTCCCCACTGGTCATATTAAGGATTCTCCATCCTCAGGGTACCACGACCATCAAAACCCAGAATACTCAGAAACCTAAGCTCCTCTGGTTTTAAAAAGAAAAATCCTGTTTCTTCCTAAACAGTAAAAATATTTTAAACAACGTTCACCTAATGAATTAAACTATATTAATAAAATTACTTTTTTTTAACCAGAGGTAGCACTTCAAGAATGGCAGAATAAAAATCCATTCCTCTATAAAAGCACCGAGAGCACTGGCAAAAATTGTCAAAATCAACTTTTTCAGAGCTTTGGAAATTAAAGTGTTTATTGAAAACAAAAGTTGATTCTCCATCAAAATAGCAAGCTTCGGGGTGTTTGAACCTGCCCAACCCACCACTCAACCTCTAAGACAACCTTGAAAACGCAGCTCAGCAGCCATGGGCGAGGGGTGGGGGCAGAATGGGTCTGCATCTCCCCTAGAGCACCACTGCTCACTGCCACCAACTGACCTGTCTGGCAGCTCACTGAACAGCTCCATTTGTAAATCTGGTCTTTACTTGATCTGATGCAAAGCTCACCTCAAAAGCCTAGCCCCAAGCTCTTTGTTAAAAAAAAATCCGCAGCAACTAAGGTGGTGAAAACAGGAGGAGACAATGACCAAAACCCTAAGAGGAAACACTGGAGGAGGAAAGGTCCAGAGGCGGCTCTGAAAAGCTCTGGTACAGTCCTGGGAGCCACTAGTCCAACTGGGTAGGACTGTGCACCTGCCCTGAGGACCAGACAAGGCTCTCAGCTCTCACTGCTCACTGACCTTGCAGCTCTGCACAAGCAGGAGGTGACAGCGAAGGCAGAGATGGAAACTACCTGCCAGAGCACTGGAAGCATGCCCCAACCAGAGCCCCTCAACAAAGAGACAGGTTATAAATGAAACCAGACAAGATTCTGAAGCTGGAAAGTACAATTACTGAAATAAAGATCCACTGAGGGCACAACAGCAGATCTGAGTGGACAGAAGGATCAGCAAACACGAAATCAGGTCAAATGAGATTATTCAGTCTGGGGAACAGGAAAAAAAAAGAATGAAAAAAAGTAAGTAGGGCCTCAAAGTCCTGTGGGACACCCTCAAAGAACAGCATACACATAATGAGGGTCCCAGGAGAAAGGAGAAAGGGAACAGGGCAGAAGAATACTTGAGGAGAATGTGGCCAAAAATTTTGCAAATCTGATGAAAAAATATTAATCTACACACAGAAGAAGCTCAATGAACTCCAAGGAGGATAAACTCAGAGAGATGTACACCTAGACACATCATAATCAAAGTTCTGAAAGACAAAGAATCTTGAAAGCAGCAAGAGAGGAGCAACCCAACAAAGCAGACCCTCAGTAAGATTAGCAGCTCACTCATCAGAAAGCACGGAGGCCAAGAGGTAGTAGGATGGCACACTCACAGCGCTAAACAAAAGTGTCAACCAAGAAAGTTACATCCGAGGAACTCTTTCTAAAATGAAGGAGCAATTAAGACATTCACAGATAAATAAAAACTGAGAGAACTCATCACTAACAGACCCTCCCCCGAAGAAACACTAACAGGAGCCCGTCAGGCTAAAATGAAAGGAAAGCAGACATTGCCAACTAAAAACTGGCACTTGCCATCTACCTCTGCTTGTATTAGATCACGAGCCGCAGCCGCGGACCTCCGGCATTCCCTGATCAGGATGCAGATCAGGAAGGAGGCGCTCTGTGCTCTGGGAAAACTGGCCAAACAGACCTTCAGAAAGTTGGACATCTTCAGAGGTTTTTATGACCCAAATTCTTGCGTCTCCTCTTATCTAGAAAAGCACTAAAATCATCAACAGTGACATCTGCTCCTGGTTTAGGGAAGTCTCTGCCTAAACGTGTGCTTGACCGCACGTCCCCCCTTCACTGAAATCGTCTGTGATACTGACGTGCTCCCCCCGCCTCTCCAGTGCAGCTCCTCAGAGCTCTGGGATGCTGTCTCCTGGGCTACAGTCTTCACTTTGCCCCAAATAAAAACTGAACCCACAACTCTCACGTTGTGTAGTTTTATTTCATTTCAACAACATTAACCTCAATCTACATGACAAAATAAAAAACACTGGAAAAGGTAATTATACACGTTAATATAAAAGACAAAATAAACGTAGCTTTTGTTTGCAATTCTTTTTTCTCCTATCTGACTTAGAAGACAACTGGATAAAGCAATGAGCATAAAATGTCCACGGATGTTCTTTGTATGACAATATTAGCACAGAGGGAAGGGAGGGATGAAGCTACATGGGACAGTTCTGTAAACTATAAAATTAAGTTGGTGTTAATGTGGACTAGGCTGTTCAAGTGTTCGTTGTAATCCCCGGGGCAAGCACTAAAACACAGCTCAAAAAATACGTAGAAAAATACACATCAAGGAAATTAAAATGAAAGGAGGCAGGTGCGGGGGACTGGAGGCACAAGACAGGCGTGAGATGTGGAGACAGCAAACAGCAGGCACCAACACTCCCCACAACGTGCACGAGCCTACAAAACACTGTTCTAAGTGGAAGAAGCCAAACTCAAGAGGCCACATATTGCATGATTCAATTTCTGTAAGATGTCCAGAAAAGGCAAACCCACAGAAACAGAAAGTCCGCCAGTGGAGCCAGGGCTGGGAGAGACGAGGGATGCTGGTAGGTGGGGCTCCTGTGCGGAGACGCAGAGGCTCGGGGACTGGGGGCAGCAGCAGCTGCACAACCTCACGAGTGCACCAAAACCCACCGAGCTGCACACTCGAGAGAGAGACTTCCACGGTGTGTGAATCCATCTCAGCAAAGCTGTAACTAAAAAACAAAACAAACCTGCAGTAAAAGTCATCATGCGAAGCGGAGCTGAAACCTGCACAGACGCCCTTCCATGCAAATAGGTCCATCAAAGCAAGAAAAGGCTGGACGTGGCTGCTGCTGAGTCACCAGGGCAGACAGTCAGCAGGACTCAGACTTTCTCAGATTTAAAGTACAACTGCCTTCTGAACGTGGGTTGGAGCTGTGTGGGTCAGCTCTTGCACGGTGAGTGACACAGTACCACTCAACCCACGGCTGGCTGAGCTGAGAATTCAGAGGAAGGGTGGGCACAGAGGGACCACATGCACTGAGAGCCAACAACAAGTCACAGGCAAATTTCTGACTGTTTGGACTCAGGGCCCCAATTCCCACGTTGCTCAAGGGTTAACTGTACTTGGTGACAACTTCTTAGCAGAAAGGTATGCTAACTAGTCAATTTGAAGATAATAATGAACGAAAAAAGTTGCTTGTTTCTAAGACAATCAAAATGCTTTAATTTTGCATATCAAGATTGTGAATAAACTTTCTTATTTACTTTGCAGACAGGAAAGGACAGCGCTAAAACAGATGACTCTTGATCCCGGTCCCTTTAATCGCGTGACCCGCTGCCCCAGCGCAGGGCTGACGGCCCCCGGGCTGCGCGGTCTCCTCCTCCAGCCCTGCCAGGGGAGCTGAGCGCTGGGCCCCGGCTGCCCCGTGGGAGGAGGGGAGCTGTGCTGGGCAGTGTCCCTGAACCTGCAGCGCTGGCACTGGCGCTCACCCTCACTCCTCATGCTTTCACTGTGACAACACACAGGAGTCGGGTCATAGCTCCTAGAAAACTTCAAGTCACCGTGTGGGGCCTCCGAGTCTCACCGCAATCACAACACGCAGGAGACGGGTTTGCGCGGCACAACACGACGGTTATCCTCTCAAGTCCTAAAGGTCATTTCTGAATTGACACAGATCATGTTTTTAAACTTTCTCTCCTGAAAAGACTTAATCCCAATCTTTTAAAAGGAAGGATTCAAGTGCAACTTCAAGTTAGGACACACAGCAGCTGCAAAGCCCTTTAACTCCCCCGTTCGCACCGCAACCACCTGCAGGAAGGGCGGTTCAGCCAGACAGCTCACGGTGCGGGGAGTGGCACCCCAAGGGCAGCCGGGTGTGACAGGGACGCCGATGTGCTGGCAAACAGGAATAAAACCGAGTGATGGGCACCACAGACCGGCAGGGCGAGGCCAGGGACAGGGGACAAGCCACATGCCCTTCCCCCCAAAACAGACACCACGTGAACCACTTCTGCCCACAGTGAAGGGCACTCAAAAAACTAAGAAAACATCAATGCCCAAGAAAAGGCTAATCCGCCAAGGCACGTGGTAAGCCGCGGCTAACGGTCAGGCCGGACACTGAGCCATGGTGTGCGGCCCTCTGGGCCCCAGGCCGTGGTACAGGGAGGGCTCTTCCCTCTTGGCACCCTGGGCGAGCGGTCCTGGCAGCACATTCTGTGCGCCCCACACCTGCTGAATGCTCTGCTGCAAGGTTTAAATATGTGGTTCTTGAGAAACCTTTTTGAGCCACAGATCACATTCTTCAGGGAAATGTCTTTCACAGAAGCCAAATATCTACAAACAGATAAATGCAACTTCCGTCTGAGGTCAGGGCAGGAGTCCAAGGGCACCTACACCCCACGTGCCCTCATGGAACCTGGTCCCGAGCCCGGGGCCTGCCCTACACCACCTGGACGAGAGCCCCACACGGGCCTTTCAGGCCTTGGTGTCATTGCCCACACACAGAAGGGCACAGGGTGGATTCTACATGGGACCTGCGCCGGGAAAGGCGACCAAGAACCAGCCCGCCGGCGCCACGCGCTCCTGCGTCTGCCCCGCGAGGCGCCCACGGGACCCCAAGGCAGAGCTGCACGTGCTGAGGCCGGCTGGAAGCCCAGTGTGACTTCTTTCTTAACCTTCACTTTGTCTCAGACAGCGTTTTAAGGCAGCTGA